AAAAAAAATTCCATCTCCAAAATAAACCAGCAAAAAGCTAGGCTGAAGACATGGCTCAAGTAGTAGAGCACTTGCTGAGAAAGCTGAATAAGAGTGTGAGGACCTGAATTCAGACCCCAGTTCCAATAGAAAAAAGAAAAAAACCCACTAGTATTCTTTGCCCATGGTTTCAACTAACCGTAAGGATTTCAGGAAACTTGCATATTGCCATGATTAGCTTGACATCGTCCTCAACTTTATAAAGGTTTTTTTTCTTTCTCTCTTTTTTCTCAAAGCTAGCACTCTACTACTTGAGCCACAGGCTCTACTTCAGGCTTTTTGGTGCTTAATTGGAGAGAAGGGTCTCATGCACTTTCCTGCCTGAGTTGGCTTTGAATTTCAGTCCTCAGATCTCAGCCTCCCAAGTAGCTAGGCTTAGAGAGGCATGAGCCGCTAGTACCTGGCCTAATTAAGATGAGGAGGTTGGAAACTCAAGCTTTCTATGACTAGGTTGAGCACCCCTTACCTGAACCCTGGGACTCCACAGTCATTGTGGATTTCAGATATTCAGACAAGGTTGCCCAATGGATGAAGCATATGCAAAGGATTCGGAAATTCAAACCTGTGAGATGACAGTGGTCCTGGCCCGCATTTTGGATCAGAGCTACCCAATCTGTACTACATATCCACGCAGGCCATTCAGAGGCCAATACTTGGTGCACTGATGTTTTCCAGGGACAACACCAAAGCATGATGGGTAAAGGTCCATGTAATACAGAAGAGGCACCAGTGGGCACTCACATGACAAAGAACACAAAGTAGCCAGTCAAGCTACTCAGGAGGCTGAGATCTGAGGACTGAAATTCAAAGCCAGCCTAGATAGATAAATTTGTGAGACTATTGTCTCTAAATAACCAGCAAAAAGCCAGAAGCAGGGCTATGGCTCAAGTAGTAGAGTACCAGCCTTGAATGAAAAAGCCAAACAAGAGTGTGAGGCCCTGAGGTCAAGCCCTAGCACCAGCATACACACAAAAGCCTGTACAAAACAAAACCCCAATTATTCACAGAAGTATCCATGGACTGATTGAACCAAAGTTGGAGAACTGACTACTGAAGGGTCCAGTCAGGACAACTATGTATGCTCCAGTCTTCATTATAGTCTGAGCATCCTGGGCAGCAATGTCTCTGCTACAGTTAGAACCTTTGGTAGGAATAAGATGTTTCAAATCCATCCTGACTTGTCTTTTGGTCTTGGGTGTCTGTCCATCCTCCTTCTCTGATACTTGCTCATCAATGTCTGCCATGTGGCATCGCCACCTCCTGTGAACTGATGTAACAGCCCCTGCATTTAATACGTGCACATACTTTCTGAACAGACTGCCAGGGCTTCACGGGCCAGTGAGAAGCCAGCAGATGTCCCAGCCCACTGGGACGCCTGCTGTGTAGGGGGCCCTATGGTTCCCAGGGAGATGAGATGTGTCAAGGCGGCGGCCCTGGCCTCTATGAGACACCCGCCCCCGACCAGGCACTGGTGTCCTACCAGGTGGTGAGTTCTACCTCGAGCTACCAAGTGCCACCATTACTCTTCTCCATCTTCCAGATGGAGGAAAGCAAGGCAGCCAGATGGCGAGCCATGATGTGTCCAAGGCAGACATGTCCATCTGCAGCCAGGGCCATTTGTTCTCTGACATGATTTAAGGGGGAAATGGGCTGGGGGCACAGAGAAGAAAAGATACTGGAAACCTCTCTTCGTGCTGAGGGAGGACACGGAAGGCTTCCTGGGGAGGAGGCAGAGGTCTGAACTGAGCCTTGGAAGGGAAGCAGGAGCGGAGGAGAGGCGTGGCGAGGCCTTCCTGTACCCCACCACACGGCAGCCCGGCAGGCCTGGGCAGGGAGGACAGAGGCGGACTCACAGACATGGCCAGGTGCAGCGGGGTGTTGCCGTTCTCGCCGCGGGCGCCCGCGTTGGCCCCGTAGGTCAGCAGCACCATGACGCAGTCGAAGCGGTTGCGCATCACGGCCACGTGCAGAGCTGTGTTCCCCGAGGCGCTGGTGCTCTCCACCTCACAGCCCCGCTTCAGCAGCATGCGCGCCATCTGGGGAGTGGCCAGGCCCCGTCAGCATGACGCTCGAGGGAGCAGCCATGGCCCACGATGCCTGGGCTATCACTTCCTCCCTGAGTGGCCTTCAGCCATGAGCCCTCTAGAAAGCTCTAGCAACGGGAGAGGAGCCTGGGGCAGGCCTCCGTTCTGGGGTATCCCTGGACCCTGACTCCCTACGTCCTCAGTACCCTGGGACAAACAGCTGAAAGATGATTCTCTGAGCTTCTGGTCCTTTCCTGGAGCTAACGACCCCATCCATCTCTGCGAGGCCCCCTTGGCCCTGTCCCAGAAGCACCCCACTCCTTGTGACCGCCCCCCCCGGGAGGGGCCACGCTCAGGGATCACTTTTCAAGGGCCCTGGCACCTACATCCCTACTCCCCAGCAACCTTCCAACCACAGGACTGTGGGGGACACAGCTGAGCCTCTCCTCCGGCTATGGCGGCCTGGACAGGACATGGCTGCTGGGGCACTGTCCTCTCTGTGAAGTAGGGCGTGTCTAGCTCACTGCGGGGAAGAGGCAGCCATGATAAGGAAGCAGAGGCAGGCAGACTCCTCCCTTCTGGTATGGGCCACAGAACAGCAAGATGGATCATGGGGGGCACTGGTGCAGAATCTTCTCATGTGCTACCCTGCTGGTGTCAAACACCTCTAACAACTGGTACCTGCCAGCAAGCAGCAGAGCAATGCCAGCCCCTCAACTATTCTCCTCAGGCTCATCAGCCCACTACCAGACCTGCCCTCAGTGTGGCCGCCTTCCTGCAGGCACCAGGGAGGCAGCTCTGGGCTGGGTCTGCCCCTCCCACCCGCAGACTCCGCCTACCTCAGCGTTCTTGGCCCAGTGGAGGGGGCTGGCTCCATAGCGAGGGTCTTTGCTGTGGATCTGGTTGCTGTCCATGCTGATAATCATTTCAGCACACCTGAGGGGGAAAAGGGGAGGGGAAGAAGAGGAGGAGGAAGAGATGGAGTTAGCCTGGGTTTCTGACCCCAAGTTCTATAACCCCTTACTGATTAGGGAGTTCACCTACAAACAAAGGTACAACCAAACCCACTAGCTACCTTGGCAAAGTTTTCTAGAAGAGCACACCAAAGCTAAGGCCACAGAGGGCAAAAGAAACAAATGAAAATATACTGAACTGCAGGCACTGGTGGCTCACGCCTGTATTCCTAGCTACTCAGGAGCCTGAGATCTGAGGACAGCCGTTCAAAGTCAGCCTGGGCAGAAAAGGCCGAGTGAGACTCTTATCTCCAATAAACCACCAGAAAAACCAGAAGTGGCACTGTGGCTCAAGTGGTAGATCGCTAGCCTTGAGCTGAAGAGTTGAGGGCCAGCACCCAGACCCAGAGTTCAAGCCCCACAACTGACAAAAAGAAAAAAGAAAATATACTGAACTAACAGGCTGCTGCACAGTGAATGAATCAACAAAAGAGAAACACAACCTATACACTAGGGACAAAAATTTTACAAATCAAAGGGCTGGGAAGGTGGTAGAGCGCTTGCCTTGCATGCATGAGGCCCTGGGTTCGATTCCTCAGCATCACATAAGCAGAAAAAGCCAGAAGTGGTGCTGTGGCTCAAGTGGTAGAGCGCTAGCCTTGAGCTGAAGAGCTGAGGGACAGTGCCCAGGCCCAGAGTTGAAGCCCCACGACTGACCAAAAAAAAATCAGGAAATGGAGATGTGGCTCAAGTGGTAGATTGCTAGCCTTGAGCAAAAATGCTCAGAGACAGAGCCCAGGCCCTAAGTTTAATCCCCAGGAGACACACACACACACACACACACACACACACACACACACACACACACACACAGACATCATTCAAAGATGGCATACAAATGGCCACCACATACAAGGCATCTTCTGTGGTCCGAGCCAGGCACACCAAAACCACTACAAGATGTCCGCTCACAGCTGGGCTTGGGCTCAGCCCCACAGAGCCGTCCTGGGCCAGCTGCCTATGCACCCCCTCCCCCAGCCCCAAGTGCCCTCCATCTCAGCTCATCTGTCTGATCATCTGTCCCCTTCCTCGTAGGCAGGACTATCACGTGAGGACAGACACAGACCCAGGTCTTGTCAAGGTCAGCTGAGTTGAGGGACAAAGCAGAGGGACACCAGCCTGCGAACACAGGCAATTCCCAGAGCAGGGCTAGGCTGGCTACTATGTGGAGACACTAGCACCACCCTGCTGGCACTCAGATGCCCCGTGCTCTCCCATCTCCAGAGAGGACAGCCGGGGGAGAGAGGGGAGGTGGCTGAGCGCGCTGAGGAGCAAGGCTCCCTCGGAGCGGCCTGCAGCAGCGTGTGTGGCTTCTGCATGCAGATCACCCATGGCTTGTGGCACTCGGGTTGCCTGACACTGGGGCTGTTGGTGTTTACTGTAACCAGTCAAGTCCCTCTGAAAGTTCTAGTTCATTAGGGCGTGGGAGAATGAAGGAAAGACTGTCCATGCTGGGACCAGCCTATGAGGGGACAGCAGTGTCCTGTGGGTGCAGACCAGGGGGAGGGGCTTGCAGGAGGGTGTCTGTGGTCTCCCCTCCACACGTGGTACCTGACGTTTACGCTCACTGGCTGGTGCTCCACCAACTGAGCCATACCTCCAATCCTGTCCTTCATTCTTGAGACATTCTATGTTGTAATAAGCCATCTCCAATCACACCCTCCTGTATACACACCCCACACAGTGAAGAACTGAAAACCAGGGTTCCAAGTCTGGGACCTGGGAGGGACGGGAGTGGTGATACAGCTTGTCAGGAAAGCACATGTGCCTGAGCGGACAGGGCTCTGGCCACCTTGGCAAGTGTCCTTGGGCTTCAAGCCAGGCAGGCACAGAAGCTCTGAAGCACTGAAGACCCCTGGAGGGGGTTTGCGTGTGGTGTAGAGGAGAGCTCCACAAGGAAAGAGGAGGGGACCGAGGGGACGACCAGGCTGAGAGGCCCATCTCCTCTGGCTGAGGGAGTCCACGGTCAGTTAAGGTGCACTGACAAAGCTTCAGCCTGGCTGACCTTGAGGACAGAGCCCCAGCGGCCCCACAACTCTTCACCAGCACACGGTGGGCGCCAGGCCTGCACCCAGGGCTCGGGGCGGGCGGAGGCTCACCCCTTCTGGGAGAACTTCATGGCGGTGTGGATCGGGTAGCCGCCCGGCCCCATCACGTTGCAGCGGGCATTGCACAGCAGCAGCACGCGGACCATCTCCTGCTTCCCCATCTGGCAGGCCAGGTGCAGCGGGGTCAGCCCCTGGTTATTCACCTGGTTCAGGCCCGAGGAGGCGTTCTTGCCCAGGAGCTGACAAAACAACCCAAAACAGCATGGTGGGTGGGAGCCCAAGACAAGGAACCCTTCTCCAGCACACTGAGCCACCTGCGCTGGGGACCACGTGGATGCTGACAAGAAGGCCAAGAAGAACAACAGACCAGGTGCCAGTGGCTCAAGAGGCTGAGGGCTGAAACCAACCTGGGCAGGAAAGTCTGTAAGCCTTTCCAATGAACCAGCAAAAGCCAGGAGTGAAGGTGTGGTTCAAGTGGTAAAGTATCAGCCTTGAGTGAAAAAGCCAAGGGACAGGACTCAGGCCCTAAGCTCAAACCCCAGGACCGGTGCGTGTGCACATGCACACTCACGTGACATGCATGCATGCATGCACATGCACAAACACACACACACACAAAGTTTACATTATTTTTTGGTTTGTTGAGGCAAGAGTCACTGAGTACAAGGTAGGGACCCCTTTTCTGGAAAACCTGATGGCCAGGTAGAGAGGAAAAACCTTTGAAAGGACCTGCACATTCTGTACCACAAAGCATAACCTGAGTTCTGCTTTTTCCTTTCAATAGAATAAATACATGAAGTAGCTTTTTAAAAGTATCACTTCATCTACTTGCCCATTGTTTTTTTTTTTTTTTTGTTGGTCGTGGGGCTTGAACTCTGGGCCTGGGCGCTGTCCCTCAGCTCTTCAGCTCAAGGCGAGCGCTCTACCACTTGAGCTACAGCGCCACTTCCTTTCTGGTGGTTTATTGGAAATAGGAGTCTCACGGTCTTTCCTGCCCAGGCTGGCTTTGAACCGCGATCCTCAGATCTCAGCCTCCTGAGTAGCTAGGATTACAGGTGTGAGCCACCAGCGCCCGGCTTGTTTTTTTTTTTTTTTAATTTCTCTGTCCTACCTTGTATTCATATACTGTTTTGTAGAATGGGAACTTCTTTGTACAACTACTTAAAGATAATAATAAAAAAAATAAAATAAGATTAAAAAATAGATTCCTCTGTCCTAAAAATAAAAAATTAACATGAGCATCTCTGGCACCAGGGCCCACAGGAGCCAGTGGGGTGTTGGTTTGGCTTGGTAAGTTCCTGTTGGTTGGGTAGGTTGGGTAGGGGTCCCGCAGCCCCCAGGAAGGGGCTGGCTACCGTGCTTGAAGCCTGGCCTAGGGCCTGGCACTGGGCCGTGCTGGCTCAGTGGTGCCTGGGGAAGCTGATGGTTTTGAGCTGCCCTGAGGTTAGTCTGTTGAGCTGAAAGACACCGTGGCTGTCAGAGCAGGGGCCAATGATACGTCCCCAGATAGGGGTCAGAAGGGCAAAGGGAGAGTGCACCCTCCAGGGAGGAACTCAGCCTTCAATGATCAATGGGAGACAAGGAAAGGCCTAGGATGACTCGTGAGTGCAGGGCGCACGGGTGGCATGGTCCACACCAGCCTCAGCCCTGGCCCTGCTTACCTGCAGCACCTGGGAGTTGTCACCCTGCACGGCGTAATGGAAGGCCGTCTCCCCCTTGTTGTCCGTGACGTCCATCTGGGCATGGCAGTATTGCACCAGCTCCACCAGGATCTCCCCATTCCCCTTGCGGCAGGCCAGGTGCAAGGGGGTGCAGCCCTCCTCGTTCTCTGTGTTGTTGGCACAGCTGTGACAGAGGGGCAGGGTGGTCAGGATGGGCAGGTGAGAAACCCAAGTGCATGCTGGGAGATTCCCACCTCCCAGCATGGCTGAGTCACGACTCATTTGGACCTGGGCTCAGTACCACACTGCAATGAGTGGAGGGGGACAAAGGACACAGAAATCTCACGCACTCAACCTCCCTAGGCTCCAATGGCCTTCTCTACTGTGCCCACCATGATGGCTCTAGCAAGGAACAGGCCTGCTACAAGCCAAGACCTGGGGGCATCGTGGGAGATACACACACACACACCCGTGGCCCAGACGGCCGGGCCGCCCACCTGATGATGCGGCTGTGGTGGAAGCACTCTCGGATGCCCAGCTCCACCGCCAGGTGAGCGGCCGACCAGCTGGGGTGGTTGCGGATGAGGTCGGTCAGCTGCTGCAGGACATCCACCTGCAGGACCTGCGTGGAGCTCTCATAGAAGGGCGGCAGCTGGGATGAGTACTGCTGGAAGTTCACCTGAGCATCGGCCTCTGACTCCAGCTGGAAAAGCCTGGACAGGAGAGGAGGACTCCAAGCTGAACCCCATGGGGCTCTCAGCCCACAGCCCAGCTCAGTCAGGAGCCTTGGACCCCCCCCCCAAAATAGGACACTGCTGTTCCAGGCTGAAGCCTGCCTCTCTTCCCTCCAACACACAGCCTATGTGGAGTTGACCTTGACTTCTCTGTTTGAAAAGTGTCTCTTTCTCCTTCCTTTTTCCCCTCCCTCCCTCACTTCCTCTACTTCTCCCTCTCTCCCTCTCTCTCTCTTCCCCTGCTTTCATATGTTACCCAACCAAATCCCTGCTATGTCCTTTTCCTAATTGGACTGTCACATCTGAGAGCCCCAGCTTAAAGTCTCTGGCCTCTTGTACATGGTCAAAATCAAACAAGGTCAAGCCAGTGCTGGTGGCTCTCTCCTATAATCCTAGTGACTTAAGAGACTGAGTTCTGAGGATCATGGTTCAAAGTTAGCCTGGGCATGGGCTGGGAAGGTGGCTCAGTGGTAGAGCGCTTGCCTTGCATGCCTGAGGCCCTGGGTTCGATTCCTCAGCACCACATAAGCAAAGAGAAAAAAGCCGGAAGTGGCGCTGTGGCTCAAGTGGTAGAGCGCTAGCCTTGAGCTGACGAGCTCAGGGACAGCGCCCAGGCCCAGAGTTCAGGCTCCACGACCGGACCCAAAAAAAAAAAAAAAAAAAGTTAGCCTGGGCAACAAAGTCTATGAGACTCTTTTATATCCAACTAATCACCAAAAAGCCAGAAGTGGAGGTGTGATTCAAGTGGTAGAGTATCAGCCTTGAGCAGATAAAGCTCAGGGACAGCACCCAGGTCCTGAGTTTAAGCCCTCTATGACCCATGTATGCGCACCTGTGTGTGCACACGTGTGCACGCGCACATACACACACACACACACACACCACAATTGCATTTTGTAAGGCCAGCGGGGCCTGAGCCTCCAGAGACACTGAGGGTGTCTAGCACATGTCCAAAGGGTAGATGACAGAGAGGAAAAGGGTATGGTATGGGCACACATCGATGCTTATCTGGCCAGCTCCACCAGCCTACTCCACCCTGGCCCTGAAGCTGGCCCAGGCCCTTGGCGCTGGCCTAGACTCTTACCATGTCCTGCAGGCATGCCTAGGCAGACACAGCTCTGCCAGCCCTGTGAGGACAGTCACAGGTCACCTTACAGGGCCCTCTCAGCCTCCTCCACCCTTCCCACATCCCTCCATCCGCCTGGGTCAACACCTAGGCGGGAAACAACTTAGGCTGTGCTTCCTAAGCCCTCCATAGAGACCTGCCTCTCCAATCCCAAGCCCTCAGATGGGCCCCAGAAGCCACGTAGCACCTCCAGTGAGCTACTAGGAGGATCCAAAGGATAGAGACGTGTATGTATGTGTATGTGCACATGCACGCCCACGCGCATGCACCTGTGTGTATCTATGTGTACGTGTCTGTGTGTAATGTGTATGTGTGTATCTGTGTCTGTTTCTGTGTGTATGTCTGTGTGTATCTATGTGTTTGTATATGTGTCTCTCTATGTGTATGATGTATGTGGTGTGTGTGTGTATCTATGTGTTTGTATATGTGTCTCTCTATGTGTATGATATATGTGGTGTGTGTGTGTATCTATGTGTTTGTATATGTGTCTCTCTATGTGTATGATGTATGTGGTGTGTGTGTATCTATGTGTTTCTCTATGTGTATGATGTATGTGGTGAGTGTGTGTGTGTATCTATGTGTTTGTATATGTGTCTCTCTATGTGTATGATGTATGTGGTGTGTGTGTGTGTGTGTGTGTGTGTGTGTGTGTGTGTGTCATGGCTGACCACCACCCACCGGAAGCCGTTCTGTGAGTTCTTAGGGCTGATCAGGATGCAGTCCCAGGTGCGATTGGGAACATTCTGGAACAGGATCAGCTGCCCTTCCTCCCGAAGGCGCTCACTCAGGGTGTAGTCGACGATGGCCACCTCCTTCACGCGGTATGGGTTGGAGAACAAGTTGGTGACACTGCTGAGGGTATTCACCAGGCGGCCGAAGAACTGCATCCTCTGTGGGGTGGGGGGCCCCACTGCCCGTACCTCCGTCTGCAAGACAGTGGGGTCTCGGGTGAGCTGGGCGGGGTCTCCCATGCACACCTCTGTGGGCAGCCAGGTCTTGTGCAGGCACCTCTGCAATGCTCCTCATTCTGGGCCTGCAGGGAGCTGAAAAAGGAAGGCGAGAAGGAGGGAGGGAGGGAGGAAGGAAGACAGGGAGGGAGGGATGGAAGGAAGGAGGGAGGGAGGGAGGGAGGGAGGAAGGGAGAGAAGGAAGAAGGGAGGGAGAGAGAGAAAGGAGCCCGAGTGTGAGGTCAGAAGGCTGAGAGGAGCTGGGCTGCCTCCTGCCCCCTGCCTCCGTGTCCCTGTCAGATCACACTCCCTCGTGGGTGCACCATAGGAGCCAGCAGCAGTGAACACGCACCATGGCACTAAGGCCCTGGCAGGTGGACGGCTTCTAGCCACACCAAGCAGTGACCGTCATTCCAACTAACAACACCCCCCCAGGGGAAAGGGACAGCGAGCAACCATCTCACCCTTTGCTTCCCACTGACTCTGGGAGAAGCCCAGGGCGTTGCCATGGGCGGCGGGGCTGCTGAGGCCTCTGGGGGTGGGGGATAGTTTACACTGCAAAAAGTACTGTTTCTGCTGTGTGTGCGCGCACTAAACAAGCTCCCTACCCCTGAGCTACATCCAGCCCCCCAAACCTGCTATCTTATTAGTTTCTGAGTTCCCAGAAAGCACACTGACTCCCTAAGGCACAGCCACAAATCCTGGTGCCAACCGGATGCCATCAGGCCACCTGCTGACGGGGCAGGCAGCGCTGAGGACGCTGATGTCTCTGATGAACATGGGCTTCACTGCCTGCAGAGGTTTGGCCTTGGAGACAAGGGAGATTAATGTATTTTTTTTGGGGGGGGGGGTCCGGTCATGGGGCCTGAACTCTGGGCCTGGGCACTGTCCCTCAGCTCTTCAGCTCAAGGCTAGCGCTCTACCACTTGAGCCATAACACCACTTCCGGCTTTTTTGTTTTTGCGTATTTGGTGCTGAGGAATTGAACCCAGGGCCTCATGCATGCAAGGCAAGTGCTCTACCACTGAGCCACCTTCCTAACCCAAGACAAGGGAGATAAAATAAAATAAAATAAAATGAAATAAAGACTAGGAGACTACAGAGGGAGCTTAATAAAGGAGAGAAAGAGCCTTTAGTGCGATGTGCTCAGGGGAGGAGCATGAAAACCCCACAAATATGGATTTCCCACGTTACAAACTGCATGGGTTCAGTAGCATGACCTGCCCCCCTGGCTGGCTGTGTGCGCCTGCGCAGGGTGCTCTCACAGTGAGAGCACCGTCCTCCAGCCCTCAGCCTCACAGCATGGCTGCACCACCCTCCCGGAGCACACTTCGTAACAATGCGAGCTCCACTCTCCTGGTCATTATCCAGCCACATTGCAGCACTACCCTCCTGGTTGTTACTTAGCAGCGCTGGGTGCACTGCCCTCCCAGGAGTTACTTAGTAGGTAGCTCATTATCACATGACTGTCATGGTACTTGCACAGTGTTCAAGCAGCCCCTGTGTAACTTAATGACAGCCTCCAAACACTCGAGGGGTAACACCGACCGTGTGGACGTGCAGAGGAGCCCCAAGGGCTGAATGCACAGTGTGCGCTTGCAGGTGTCCCCTGAAACTACTGCAGTTACATCACAACACACCTGCCCACCCCCCTTTGGGCTGAGCTCAGCACTCCATGGGATCACATCAGCGAATTCTCACAGAACCACAGGAGGCATGTGTGCAGCGAGCACAGTGCAGACCTGGGGCCAGACCAGGTTCAAATCCCGGCTCACCATTTGCTAGCTGTGTGACCTTAGGCACAAGTTACTTCATCTCCCTGAGTTTCAGTTCCTAACCTGTAACATCAGGAACCAAAACAGTGCCTGGAAGTGGCACCCAGCAGAGGGCAGATGGCCAGTAGGTGGCAGTTGGCTTTACCACCCTTTTACTGGTAAGGAAATGGGGCCTGCGGAACCTCAACAGCACAGCTCTGAAGCTATTCTTGCTGAAGCTTTGGAAAATCCTTCCTTTTAGGATTGGTTGGAGGTGTGGTGGGAGAAGGCGCAGCTCTCAGGGGCTTTGGGGACAAGGATGGGATCAAGGGCTCCCAGGAGCTCAGGGTTAGGGACGAGACTTGCCAGCAGGCTCCAGAGGCCTCACACAAAGGTCCCTGCCCAGGAGGCTGAGGCCTCTCCTCAGAGGCTGGGCCCACAGCCCGCGCACCTCCCTCCCCCACACCCCACCCCTAACAGGCCTCCCTCCACCCGGAGTCACTGGCATGACACCATGACGCAGGAGGCCCTGGCACAAGCCCACTGGGGACCCACACAGCAGCTGCGATGTCACGAGGAGAAGCAAGGGAACAAACACCTCTGGCCACATCCTGGAACTCACAGCACGGCCAAGGAGGAAGGCAGCCAGCAGGGAGAGCCGCCTCAGGCCTCTCCTTCTCCTGGCATCTCTCTCCACCCTGCCAGCCCAGGCGAGACTTCACTGCGTCCCTTCCCTTCCGAGGACAACCCCCACCCGGCCTCTCCCACCTGACCTCCCCTCTGCCTCTCCTCTGACCTTCCCATGACCTTCCCCTGATCTCACAGCCATCTGACACAGTCAGTACCCAGGGAAGCCATGGGCCCCTCCAGATGCCAATGGCACCTCCATGGGTGAGGCTGGGGGTTTGTGACCCCTCAGAGCCTAGACTGCTTTTTGGTTTAGGGGCCATCTAGTGTCTGTGGGGGCAGAGGCTCTCCTGACGGGGTGGAGGGCAGGAAGAATGCTAGCATCCCCACTTGACAGTCGGAGGCCAGGGGGACCTCAACATGAGGTTCCAAAGGGCAAATGAATGTGGGACACATTCCCAGCTACTTGGGAGGAGACTGGGAGGACTGAAGGTGGAGATCAACCCTGGAAGAAGTGAGTGAGATCCTATCTCAACCAACAAGCCAGGCATAGTGGTACATGCCTGTGGTTCTATCTATGAGCGAGCCATAGTTAGGAGATCGTGGTTCGGGATGGCACTGGGTAAGACACTGCAAACGATAGCTGAGCAAAAGGGACTGGAGGCAAGGCTCAAATTGTTAGAGGAACTCCCTCGCAAGCAGGAGGCCCTGGGATCAAACCTCAGTGCTGAAAACTAGTGAAAGGTTGATATCCACCAACAAAAGCCTCTTATGAGGCAAGAGGGAGACTCGGTTAGGACCAGACCTGAGCCAAGGTCCCTAGAAGGGGTTGCTGGCTTCCAGCCCTGCCAGGGGGACACAGAGGACATGGGAAGATGGGGGACACACTTCCTAGGAGAATGGCGGCTGAGAGCAGGGATGCAGAGCAGAGAGAGCGGTGGGGAGGGGAGAGGTCCTGGCAGAGGAGAGCCCTGTCTGTGTGGATGGGAAGCAGAAAGGGGCTTCTCCTCCTCCTCCTCGGCCCTGGGGGCCCTGGGTGGGCATGGAGGAGCTACCCCTCTGGAGGTCTTCTCCTATACCAGGAAGGGAGCTGTGTTCTGTGCTCCCAGGACTGTGGGACTGGAATGGATGCCATCCTCCAGGCCCACTCTCCCGAGGGCTCAGAGCACTGCACTCCCCCGCCCCCCCCCTGCCCAATTTCTGTACTAGGCAGGGCGGCCAGGCCTCTCCCAGCTCACCAGTGACCCTCTAGGCCTGCTGTGCACAGGGACGGCTGGACAGTGTCGCCCTGCTGACACATCCAATGAGTCCCCATCCCTCCAGAGTGGCCCATCCCTCCAACCCCCACATCTCCCCCTCTCCCCCCTGCCCAGGTCCCCTGGGCAGCCACAGGGTACCAGTGCCCCAGGCCTTGGCTCCAAACACAGCACTCCTCTCCGGGGGTGCTTCCACACAGTGGCAGCCCCCTCTCGTCCTGCAGGCTCAGTCTGGGGACCACCTCCTCCCCAGGCCCTCCCCGGGCCTTGGCCCCCATGCCAGCCAGCCACCCACCCACCTGGGGGAAACCCTTTCTCCCGCTGGGCACAAGGCTTCGGAGGAGACCCCTCCCCAGTCAGCTCTGCCAAGTTCATTTCATGGACATCAGCGCTCGGCCCTGCTGAGCTCGCCCCTGTCCTGCAGGGGAAGGCCTCAGGCCCGGCTTTCTCCTTGGCAGGCTGCAGCAGAGACAGGACAGCCGTCAGAGCGCGTGCCAGGACAGACATCGGCGCTGGCCACGTGGAGCTCCAGGGCCGCGCGTGGACACACAAGAGGTGCCCACGATGACAAGTGAGCCTCGGGCCCCCACCGCCCAGCTCAGGACAGGACGGCAGCGACCGTCCCCAGCAGCGGGACCCTGACACCCAGGCGGCCAGCGCTTCCTGTCACCCCATCACAAACTGGGCTGAGGACACAGCACAGGGCCAGTGTGTCTCCACGTCCTTCCTGGTGCAGTCACACGCAGGCCACCCTCCCTCACAGGACCACCACCGCTGCTGGACAGCACGCGACCCCGCCTCTGTCATCCGCCTCCCCCTCCCAGCCACGGCGCAGTGGGGTCGGGCACAGTCCTTGCCTTCCCCAGCATGGGGGTGTGGGCAGCGAGGCCCAGGCCTGGAAGCGGGGTGTCCTGCCTGCCCTCTGAACCGCACAGGCAAAGGCCTTGCACATAGCAAGTGCTCGTTAGCATGACGGAAGCTGGGACGAGGAGGGAGGGGGTCAGTCACGTGCTATGCAAGCCTCTGCACCTCCCTGCACACCATCCTCCACCTGCTGCCTCCACCCCGCACCTGCCCAGCACCAGCCGCCTGGGGCATTCCCGGCATACTGTGTCCTCCAACACCACCACTGCACCGAGGGAGACTGAGGCATAAGCAGGCCTGGTAACCTCCAGGATCTGGGCCAGGGAAGCTGGCAGCCGGAGCCGCAGTGTTCTGTGCTCAGACTGGACTTTCAGTCTCGGGTTACCCAATGCAAGGCCTCCATCTACAACCACACTGCGGTTCACCCAGCCAACCCTGGACCAGCACACAGGGGGACAAAATGCCCAGGAGGGCTGCCAGGGCTCTCGAGGACTCAGCCGAGCCAGCAGAGGGTTGCCAGAGGGCTCCTTAGCTGCTGGCATGGAAACTGGTGGTCTGTTGCATGACTCATTCAGCAAATATTTACCAAGTGCCAACTGTAGCAGGCACTGCTCTAATACCAAGGACAAAACCCTGCCCCCTGGAGCTCAGACTGAAGACAGGACTGTAAATAACAAGAAGGAAGAGAGCAGAACATATCCATAGACTATAGATGTCAATTAGAGAAGAGACACGGGAAGTGTGGAGGTAGAGACTGAAGTTTTAGGGTGACCAGGGAAGCCCTCATCAAGAACCAACAGGAAGGGAAGGTGAAAGTCTACTGGTTACCTAAAGAGCTTTCTAGGCAGAGGGAAGAGCAAGTGCAAAGGATGTGGGGCTGGACCAAGCCAGGTGAGTCCAGAGACAGCATGGAAGCCAATGAGATCAGATCTTGTGCACTAAGAGCAGCCACTGCAGGGCTTGGAACAAAGGAGTGACACTTTAACAGAATAACACTTGCTGGTGTGCAATATGGAAGACAGGCATCAAGAATAAACTCACAGCTGGGTGAAGCAGCTCACACCTGTAATCCCAGCTACACAGGAGGCCTAAGTCACAGGATCTTGGTCAAGGCCAGTCTAAGCAAAAGGTATGAGGCCCTATCTGAAAAATAAACTTTAAAGCAAAAAGTGCTGGAGGTATGACTCAAGTAGAGTACTTGCCTAGCAAGCATAGGTTTGTGAGTTCAAACCCAGTATTTCCATGTTCAGAGGCTTATATTTGCAATCCTTGCTACGCCAGAGGCAAAAACAGGGCCATTGTGGTTTGTCATCCTGGACAAAAAAAGTCCATGAGACTCCATCTCAGCCAATGCCCGAGAACAGTGGTACATACTTACCATTCCAGTAGCAAAACAAAGTACAAATAAGAGGAACATAGTCCAGGTCAGCAAAGGCATAAAGCCAGAACTTATCATAAAAATAACCAAACCAAAAAAAAAAATAACCAAAGTAAAAAGGGGGCTGGAAGTGTAGCTCAAGTGGTAGAACACTGGCTTAGCAAATGAGAGGCCCTGAGTTCAAGATCCCAGTACCAACAGAATAATCATCACCTTGCAATTTTGGTCTGAGCCAATCAAAGAATATTACTGTCATTTCTGAAAATGGGAACAAAAGTGGGAGGAGGGTCAGATTGTCCTAACTTATATAACTGTAATCCCTCTATAAAAATGCTGAAATTTTTTTTTTAGAAAGATTGAGCTGGGCTCACAGACTGCTTTGGTTTTTGTTTTGTTTTGTTGTTGTTCTTGTTTTAGTCAGTGTCGTGGGGCTTGAACTCAGGGCCTGGCCTTTGTCCCTGAGCTCTTTTGCTTGAGGTTAATGCTCTACCACTTTCAGCTACAGCTCCACTGCTGGTTTTTGAGTAACTAATTGGAGATAAGAGTCTCACAGGGACTTTTCTGCCCAGGATGGCTTTGAATAGCAATCCTCAGATCTCAGCCTCTGGAGTAGCTAGAATTACAGGTGTAAGCCACCAGCTCACTGCAGGAGCTCATTTTTTAATATTTGTACATTTGAAATGTGCAAGTCTGAGGGCCTGAGTAAACAACTAGATTTATGAATCTGTCATCTGGAGGACAGGTCTAAACTGACTGGAGATAAAAATTTGAGAGTAGCCAGGCGCCAGTGGCTCACGCCTGTAATCCTATCTACTCAGGAGGCTGAGATCTGAGGATTGCAGTTCAAAGCCAGCCTGGGCAGGAAAGTCCATGAGACTCTTATCTCCAATAAACCACTAGAAAACCAAAGTGGCGCTGTGGCCCAGGCGGTAAAGCGCTTGCCTTGAGCTGAAGAGCACAGGGACAGTGTGTAGGCCCAGAGTTCAAACCCCATGACTGACCAAAAAAAAAAAAAAATTGAGAGTAGCCGGGTGCTGGTAGATCACATCTATAAGCCTAGCTACCAAAGAGGCTGAGATCTGAGGATTGTGGCTCAAAGCTAGCCTGGCAGGAAAGTCCGTGAGACTCTTATCTCCAACAAACAACCAGAAAACCGGAAGTGGCGCTGTGGCTCAAGTGGCAGAGCACTGGGCTTTTGTTGAAGAGTTGAGGGACAGTACCCAGGCTGAGAGAGTCATTGGGCCACAGCCTTAGCTCAGTGGCAGGGTGCTTGCCTAGCATGCATAAGGCCCTGGGTTTGATCTCTAGGACCAAATCAAAAGGACTGCAAAGCGCTAAATGAACATCCGAGAACTGAATGAGATCACCAGCAAATGCGGCTGGATCAGACAGCAGCATTTAAGGCGCTGCCCTGTAAAATCCACCTACAAAAGACAAAGACCCCGCTCTCCCAGGGAGACGCCCTCTATAAATACAGACCCAGAGCAGGTGTATGTATATGTATGTGTGCGTGCACCTACACACAGTGCATAGATTCCTCCTTTCTGTACTCCTTTGTCACATCATTCTGCTGAATGAAAAGAAAACCCCTTTCTAGGATACTCAAAAGAGTAGGGAGAAACCAACACTCTGAACATGGAAAACCCAAAGTGCGGTAGAACTGTCACCCAAGCTCCAGTGCCTGTCACACTGACATAACTGGTCACTGGTGGCTCACGCCTGTAATCCTAGCTACTCAGGCGGCTGAGATCTGAGGATCACAGTTTAAAGCCAGCCTGGGCAGGAAAGTCCCAGAGACTCTTATCTTCAATAAACCAACAGAAAACCAGAAGTGGCACTGTGGTAGAGCACTAGCCTTGAGCAAAAGAGCTCAGGCGCAGCACCCAGGCCCAGAGTTTAACCTCTACGACCAAAAAAAAAAAAAAGGAAAAGGAGAAAGTGTCCTAACATGAGGCATCAACTATTCCTTGCCTACCAACTGGGCACGGCAACTATCACTGCCCAGTATGGAGAAAATCAAGTTGTAATGGTGAGCTCAGAAAAAAATCCAAACTGGACATCCTAAGTTAGGTTTCTGCCAAGTGCAGGGCCTCTCCAAACATCCAATCAAACCTTTAAACTAAGGACCCTCTACACCATTCGGCTCCAACTGCATCAGCTGCACCTTAGACAAGTAATTCACTTGCCCTCTCTTCCTCCTGTTAAAGGGGATAACACTGGCTATGTCAAGAGTAGCCAAGAACATTAGAGCCAATTAACACTTGTTCAATGGAAAATGAATGAGCAGTAAAAATAACTAATTCAAAAGAGCCTGTCAGGCAAAGTGGCTCACACCTGCAAACTTAGCTTGGGAGGCTGACATCACAATGAACTCAGATGGCCCAAGGGACAAAAAAACTCGTAAGACTATCTCACTAGGCACCAGGGCCTCATGTCTGTAATCCTAGCTACTTGGGAGGCTGAGAGCTGAGAATCATATTTCAAAGAAAGACTGGGCAGAAAAGTCTACGAGACTCTTATCTTCAATTAACCAGCAAAAAGGAAGAGGTAGAGCCGTTGTTCAAGTAGTAGAGTGCAAACCTGAGTAAAAAAAGCCAAGCCAAGCAAGAGTGCAAGATCTAAGCTCAAGATGCAGTACTGGTAAAAAAAAAAAAAAAAAAAAGATGAATAATAGCAACAGCAAACATAAAAGAGCCTACCTGGCTCCAGTGGCTCATCTTACTGAGGGGGGAAAAAAGTGAGAGCGCATTTCAAAAATAATCAGGGGCTGGGAAGGTGGCTCAGTGGTAGAGTGCTTGCCTTGTATGCTAGGCACATGCCTAGCAAGCTTGGAAGCCTTGAAATGTGAGCACGAATACTGTCCTGTCCAGAAAAGAACCTAGGGCTGGGAATGTGGCCTAGTGGTAGAGTGCTTGCCTAGCATGTATGAAGTCCGGGGTTGGAATCCTCAGTACCACATACACAGAAGTGTATGTGGCCAGAAGTGGCACTGTGACTCAAGTGGTAGAGGGCTAGCCTTGAGCAAAAGAACCCCAGGACAGTGCCCAGGCCCTGAGTTCAAAACCCAGGACTAGCAAAACAAACTCTGAAGCCTGATTTATGGGATGCAATTAATGAATAAACAATCAAATGAAAGATGAAACCATGCCTTTCTCTCCTCATCCCATCATCCTTTCTGTTTCCATTCCTTTCTGCCTTGCCTGTGACTTAGCAACCAAGCCCTGCATGTATGTGTGCAGGTCCCTGTCCGGTCATCAACGTTTAACCTTGTACATTTTTCTCTACCGAACCTCAAGGCACCTGAGTGGGCAGGAAACAGTTCCCCTGACAGATGAGGAAACTGAGACCTGGACACAACATAGCCTCCGGACTCCAGGAAGATTCTAAGGCAAAGTCAATAACCAACACAGCTCAGGCCAAGCCAAACCTGCCAAACATCCTGCAGGGCTGGTAAGAGGGCAGGGGAGGGAAAGGTCCCGGAGCTTAGCGGGAGGGAGGAGGGGGAGCTATTTGTTTGGGGTCATGTGGGAAGCCCATTGAAAAAAAAGGGCACAGAACCCAGGGCTGCGCCCTCCCTGTCCCCCACCCGCGCCCCGGCCCAGCCGTGCGGTTACCGGGTCACTCGCTCGGGTCGTCGCCAGCGTCCAAGCTATCTGTGGGAACAGAGGGGCCAGGCTGGGGCTGGGGGCCGCCGGGGTGGCCGAAGGTGGGGGGGGGCATGTGGAGGCCACACCGCAGACGGCAAGCGGAGGCATGGGTTAAAAACGGGGCCCAGGGGGGACAGCGGGCGGGGTGCGCGGCCCGGGCAGAAGCAGCGGGTCCCAGGTGAAGGCTGGTCTGGGAAGTGGGGGGACCGAGGGGAAAGACGGCCCAGGCTGGGCCTGGCGGGGGGACACAGCGGTCACGGGATGGGAGTTGGGGACGCTGGGGGAGAGGTCAGGACAGGAGCAAGGGGTACACAGGGGTCACGGAGGACCTGCCTCAGAACCGAAGACACCAGCAAGGTACAAGGTAGGGCCCGAGCAGAGACATCCGGTCGAGGGGAGCCGGACTCTGGGACGGCCACCCAGGCCCCGCCCCCCCTCCGCCGTCACTCACCTCGGCTGGCTCAGCCCTGGTACTTCCTCCTACTTCCGCAAATAAATACGTCCCCAACCACGTGAGGGCTCAGCTGCCGCTCTTCGCCAATCATCAGAGTCCATGCTCCAGACCGTCGCTGTGGCCCCGCCCCCGACCCACGTGCCTGGCGCACGAGGATCGGCGGGGGCAGTGTTTCGCCATCTTGTATAACCGCCCAATGAAAAGGGCTTCCAGTCTCCGAGGGCGGGGCTAGGAGAGCGACAGGAGCCAATCGTCGGAGGCTGTGGGGGGCCATGTCTGAGTGGGGCGGAAGTTCCTTGTGACGGCCTGTTGACAGACATGTTGGTGAAGGGCAGGAGTCTGGTACGAGTGCTCTCTGCCCTCCTAAAACCGCCTTAATGACAGCGCATAAAGATAAAAATAAAAGCCAACAAAGGCAGAAGGCATAACAGGGAGGAACCTGCTTCCATTTTTCCCAGATACTTCAAAGCTAGGCTTGCCAGATGTGTCCTTTTTTTTTAAAGGCCTCTAGTTGAATTTGAATTTCAAGTAAATAGCCAATAATACAGTTTTTTAAAAATTTCTTTATTGAGATTAAGTGATCACTTTTTTTGGGGGGGGGTCAGTTGTGGGGTCTGAACTCTGGGCCTGGGCGCTGTCCCTCAGCTCTTCAGCTCAAGGCTAGTGCTCTACCACTTGAGCCACAGCACCACTTCCAGCTTTTTCTGCTAATGTGGTGCTGAGGAATTGAATCCAGGGCCTCATGCATGCAAGGCAAGCGCTTTACCACTGAGCCACCTTCCCAGCCCTAGTGATCACATTTTTAATCTAAGTAAAATAGTGCTAACAAATGCTCATCACTGGCAATCATATCTAAAGATGATCTCAGGAATACTCATCAATTTCTGGATATATTTGGGCATTTTTAGTAGGAACTTGAGCAAATGAATTCTGAACCTGAGAGGGTACAGTAATACAACTGAGATAAGTTAGTTCTGCGCCTATCTAGAGTGGAATTTCAATAGGTAGCAGATTAATAATGCTGATAGTGTGCATTGGAGAGAAGCCAGGAGATGAGATTTTAGTCACATGGTTGACGTGACAGAGCAGGCCAATTCACCAGATCTAGTTGACCTTTACTTTCCCTAAGGATACCGTACCCAGGGATGGATGCATGTGTTACACTGCTATCTGTCCAAGTAAGATGCTGGTGTCATTCTAGTCAGCCAATACCTTCCAGGCTTCGGGCCACCAATGGGGACTATCCTGAGATCTTTAGTTACAAATCTACAGGGTGGAGCCAGATGACTTAATACTTGTAATCCCAGGCCTCAGGAGACTGAGGCTGGAGAATCACAAGTTTCGGATTAGTCTGGGCTATGCAGCAAGACTCAGTCTCAAAAGTAATAATAATAAAAAAGGGAAGGGTGGGGAAGGGAAAGGGAAACTGAAAGGGAACGGAGGGAAAGGGAAAGGGGCAAGAAAAGGAAAGGATCTGAGCACGAGTGTCTCACATCTATAATCCTAGCTACTCTGGAGATCTGAGGATCATGGTTCAAGCCAGCCTGGGCAGGAAAGTCTATGAGACTCTTATCTCCAATTAACTACCAGGAAACCAAACCAGAAGTGGAGCGGTGGCTCAAAGTGGTAGAGCACTAGCTTTAAACAGAAAAGCTCAATGGGCTGGGAAGGTAGCTCAGCGGTAGAGTGCTGCCTTGCATGCCTGAGGCCCTGGGTTCGATTCCTCAGCACCACATAAGCAAAAAGAAAAAAGCCGGAAGTGGCGCTGTGGCTCCAGTGGTAGAGTGCTAGCCTTGAGCTGAAGAGCTGAGGGACAGCGCCCAGACCCAGAGTTCAGGCCCCATGACTGGCAAAAAAAACAAACAGAAAAGCTCAAGGACAGCACCCAGGCCCTGAGTTCAAGCCCCAGTACCAGCACAACACACACACACACACACACACACACACAAACAGAGTGGATTTTTGTCTTAAACACTTCTGATGAGGCATCCTGGGACCATCTTCTTTCCTTGTTTGTTTTTGTCAGTCATAGGGCTTGAACTCAGAGCCTGAGCACTGTCCCTGAACTTTTTTGCTCAAGGCCAGAGCTCTACCACTTTGAATCATAGCACCATTTCTGTTTTGTCTGGTGGTTAATTGGAGAGGAATCTCCCAGACTTTCTTTCCCAGGCTGGCTTTGAACCCTGATCCTCAGATCTCAGCCTCCTGAGTAGATAGGTTTATAGACATGAGCCACTGGCACCCATCAGGACCATCTTATCAGAGTTTTGGGGCTGTATGTGAATGGCTGTGTTTCACCATTGTTGTGAATGTAGAGAATTAGAGGGTGATAGATACTGTGGAATAGAAGCAGGGATGAGACTCAGGGAAGGGTTGCCATTTTTGTACATGATCCTAAGAGCTCAGCCACTGGTGCCTGGCTAGATTTTATTTGTTATGGTACTGGGGACTGAACCCACAGCCTCACACATACTACGAAAGTATCCTACCCCTGAACTACACACCTCTAGTAGCTGCAGGTTTAGAGTGGACCGAAGCGGGGGCCGTTTAGATAAAGACATGATAGAGCCAAAGGAGGGAGCCAGAAGGACAAGCTGGAGACCAGTGATGCCCGGGGACACGTCACAAGAACACAGGCGTGTTTTATCTCAGGAAAAGCAAGGGGTACTGAGGCTGGAACAGAGTGAGAAAGTAAGGATGTGCTAGGCCATGGGGCTAAAGGAATGAGGGGAAGGGAGAGAGTATAAAATATTGTGGACTGTTTTAAGATCTGTTTGACTTTCACTCCCAGGGTACGAGGAGCCATGGAAGGTTTCCTAGCAAAGGAGTATGTATTGGGTATATATTGCATCAGAACATGTTTGTTCTGTGAGAGCAGAGGGTAAGGGCTAGGCAGAGGGCAGAAGCCAGGGAGGAGCGAGACTGTGGTACAACCACCTTTCCATTGAATTATCAGAGCAAGGGAATCATTCCAAGCCGGGCATAGTGATACACATCTGTGATCCAGGTACTCAGGAGGCAGAGGTATGAGGATGTTGGTCTAAGGCTGGAGAATGAGGAAGATCTTATTGAAAACTGAACTAAAGCAAAAAGATATGAGAGCATTAAAAATGAGGAAGAGGAGGAAGAGGAAGAGGAGGAGGAGGAGGAGGAGGAGGAACAAAATTGTTCATCCCCCTGTCCCTACTGAGAATGAACCCAGGGCCTCACACTTATTAAGCAAGTGTTTTACTTGAGCCTCACACACTTTTATATATATGGGTTGTTTTTTTTTGAGAAAAAGTCTTTGTAACTTTTCCCAGACAGGCATTAAACTCTCTCCTTCCACCTCCACCTTTGGAATAGCTGGGATTATGGCTATGTACATGATCTTGTAAATGAAGTGGGTTTGTTGTTGCTATTTTTTTAATAGAGCCATACCAGCTATTTATGTTTTTATCCTTTCGACAATGGCACAGTTGAATAGTCATGACACTAGCTGTTTGATATGCAAAGCCTGAAATATTTCTACAATCCTAGTCATTTGCAGGAAGAATGTTTACCAACGCCTGCTCTTAAATTAGGTTCCTACCTATGTGCATCTGATCATGTAAAATAACACTTACCAAAGTGAACTCCAGGAAATGGAAAAAAAGAGTTTTTTTTCTTTGTTGCTGTTTTTGTTTCCTTTTCTTTTTTGTCTTATTTATCTGTCTCTTAGGGGAGGATAAGGGGGGCACAGAAAGGGAGGGACAAAGGATACTGTGTTGAAAATGAACTATCCAACCTGTGGATGGGGAAGGGAGGGAAAAATAGGGAGAGAGCAAGGGAAGGGTGACATTGTCCAAAAAGAAATGCATTTGTTACATGACTTATATAACTGTAACCTCTCTGTATATCACCTTTATATTAACAATTAAAAAAATTAGGTTTTGAAGGTTGAATAGGAGTTTTCCAACTAACTTTCCAGTAAGAACTTTCCAGGTGGGAGAAATCATGTGAGGAAAGGTCAACATCAAGAGACTGCCTGGGTTGTTTGGGGAAGTGCAAGGGACTGAACATGGCTGGAAACTTCCATGTGAGCGGGTGGGCAGCCAGGATTGGGACCTTAGTGTGCAGGCAGCAGGAGCTTTGGCAGGGGGACAAGGCAGGAAGCCATGTGGAAAAGTCTCTCTGCTGCTTGGGAGGGGTTACTGCAGGGCACAGAGCTGAAGAGGCAGCTGTATGGGATAGACCCCATGATGTGGCTTCTGAAGCCATGGGGCAAGCCCTGGCCAGGAAGGAAGCAAACGCAGGTGACTTCCTGCTGAGGCAGCAGCACGTGCCTTCCCCATGCCTGGGGAAAAGCCATCCTGGCTAGGAAAGGTGGGACTTCCTGTTGTTCCCCCACCCACCCCTGCCCCTTTCCATGCTGAAGGGCTCAGTTCAACTGTCTGTGGGGCCAGAAGCCAGAGCAGAACCTGTGTCCTGACACGCAGGTGGGCAGATCACACAGAGGTACGGCGCATGGGCAGTGGTCAGGCAGTGTCTTGTGTCTCAGGATGAGGTTGTTCAGCAGGTCTTGGGGATCAGAGTGTACAAGGCCTTTGCTACTCAACTGAAGCCCGCTGTGACAAGTACTGGAGACCAAGAGGAAAGGGTTATTTGAGCCAGGAACACCTAGCTACTCAGGAGGCTGAGAACTGAGGATGGAGGTTCAAAGCCAGCCCAGGCAGGAAAGTCCATGAGATTCTTATCTTTAGCCAGCAAAAAGCCAGAAGTGGAGCTGTGGCTCAGATCAGGAGGTAAAGGGCTAGCGTTAAGTGAAAAAGCTCCGGGCCAGTGCTTGGGCCCTCAGTTCACGCCCCAGTACCAGCACAAAAAGAAAAGGGGGGAAAAAGAAGAAGAAAGCAGACAAATATGTCATGATTTCAGGCATGCTATGCTCTGAGAGCGCATGTCACCACACACCTCCAGTCACCAAGGCGGTAGTGTTAGGAGCTGTGGTCCTTGGGAGATGCTTAGGCCCTGAGGTTCTGCCATCACCAGTGGGATATCAG